GTAGAGGAAAGCTATTGATTTTTGTGTGTTGACCTTGTAACCAGCTACTTGACTGAATTTGGTTATTAAGTCTAGAAGACTTTTGGTGGCATTCTTGGGGTCTTCTGTATTAGTCTGTATATTTCTTTATGTATCAAAATGTGTTTCTTCTATACAGTATACTGTTGGATTTTGTTTTTTGAACAAGTCTGCCAATCTGTTTTGACTATCGAATTGAGACCATTCATATTGAGAGTTATTACAGATAGGTAGTGACTTATTCCTGTCATTGTGTTATTTTCTTGGTGATTCTTTTTTCTGCCATCTTCCTTAACTACTCACCCAGGGTGTTATGGTTATTCTAGTAGACTTTTTTTTTTGCATTGTTAGATTCATTGTTTCTTTGTAGTATATTGAAAATTTTTTGGAGTGCTGGTTGGTGGTGCTCTTTGTCATGGAAAGACCTTGTTCATTAATTTCAAAAGAAAATTTTGTAAGATATATCTGTCTGTGTTGGAAGTTGTTTTCTTTTCAGGCTTGAAATACTTCACTCCAAGTTCAACTTGAAGGTATGTGTTAGAGAAGTCTGCTGTGTAAGTTCAGTATATTTACCTTTATATGTGATATTTTTGCTGTTCTTTTATACCAGTGATGGCAAACCTTTTAGAGCTTTCAGTGATAAACAGCCAGGTGCAGCACACATGCCATAAGTTTGCCACCACTGTCTTATACCTTTTAAGATTCTGTCTTTGTGATACGATTTTTGGGGTTCAGCTAAGATGTGTTGTGAAGTTCTTTCCCTGTAGTGTATATTTGGGGTTGTGTATGCCTTGCTTATCTGTATGTTTAATTCTTTCCCAATATTTGAAAGGTTTTCTGATATTATTTCTGTAAACAGATTTTTTATGCCATTCATGCCATCTTCTAATTTTTCACTAATTCCAGTTAATTTTAGAATCCTCTCATTTGTGTCATCTAGAAGCTGTTGGATCCATTTTTCATGTTGTTTTCAAGTTATTTTTGAATAATTGATCACCTATGTTAGCACTAACTTCTAAGGTTCTGTCTTAACATTGGTGATGCCTGGTCTCCATATTTCAATAAAATTTTTTAATCTCATGGATTTCTGTTTAGATTTCATTTTCATGGAGTCTAAGTTTTTCATATATTGGCCATTCATGTTTTGTATTGTATATTTAGATCAGCTAGCATTTTATTACTGTCTTCTGTAAGCTCACAGATCATTTTGCTTATTAAGTCCATTACCTGTTTAGTTATATTATCTTTGAGGTTGTTAATCTTACATGTCTTTAAAAAATAATCTTCTCACTTATCATTTCAAACAATTCAGCTATGTGACTTTTTCCTCCTCATAGATGCCCTGTGGACCAGCTGTGGGGGAGTCAGGAATTTGGGGAGGCATTTTGTTGCTTAGTTGTCTCATGGTTCCTGTGAGTGCATGCACGTACATGCACTGAGTTTTCTGGTTGATTATATTGGAAAGACTTTGTTGCTAGTATGGAAATATGTTTAATGTCTTCTTTTCAGTGTTGTTCTCTGGGTATGGCTAGCTATATGCCTTTGGATCAGTACTAAGATCCAAGCACCTCTGTTAATTTGGGAATGGAAGATGCAGTACAATTGCCCTAGTACCTAGTTCTCCCAAAGTAAACTAAAGTACTATCTTGTTTCAGGTGTCCATTGGCTATCTTGGAACAAACATATCCTCACACATAAGGGACACACACACACACACACACACACACACACACACGTATATATGAATGCATATTGAGGACGGAAAAGGACTTTATACTAGTGTATTGTTTTATTTTTTAGGTATAGATACATACTTAGTTAACACATACTTAGTTAACACCAGTTATTTTTTAGGTATAGATATATACTTAGTTAAGAAGAAAAACAACTCTTTCTTTGAAAAAAAAAGGCTACTGTTTATAAAATGTGTAATCTTGGAAAGCTCCCCATGAAAAATCAGTAACTCTTGAGTTGACTTTAACCATAAGAAATGAAGAATGAGAAAGGGGAAGGAGGAAGGTGTCGGAGGAAGGAATCAGATTTTCAGTGAGAAAGCACTATCAATGAAAGTAATTACCACATTAGGTATTCCAGGCTCTGCTTTATTGTGTTTGTAGTTCATATTTTATCTTTCTACCTAAAATATAATTCTTTGTAGAAATTACCTGATACCTTTTCTTAGAGAATGGGGAAAAATTTAAACAAAATCATTAATACGCTTATGATGGGTCTGTAATTCACATGTGTCGCTGCTGGGTGGCTCTGATTTGAATTTGATCCTTCCTGCCAGCTTGAACCACTGGTGGTACATGCATTACTATCCCATCTGGCAGCTTGTGACACTTCTCAGGGGGTCCTTTAATTGCAACAATGCAAAGAAAGGCATTGATTTAGCAGACCTGATGTCATCATATTACAGTTTCTTAAGGAAAAAATTAAAATGGTATAAAATTTGTAATACAACTAATTTGTGATATAGCACTTGTGAAATGTGTATTATTTGCACCAGCAATGGGGTACTTATAAGATTTTTGCGGTAAAATTTAGAGAATTAATTATTGATAAATTATTCACAAATATAAACAAATTTCTTGTAAGTTAATGAAAAGAATACATGTGTTGATTATAATAATTTTAATTGTTATGAATAGGACTGATTAATATTTGTATTTGGGCAGTAATTAAAATTTAAACAACTAACTAGATTCAGTCTGTTTATAGACTTTTTGTTAACTTTATTAGTGAAAAGACCAATAAAAGTGGTTCAGTGCATTTGTACCACCATTGGTACAAGCCCCCTGATGGCAGTCATGCATGGACCAATGGAGATTCAAACTGGTGGGTATGTGTTAACTTTGTAGCATCTTAAAATTTCATTTTCTCATTTAGCTATTATTTCAAACTATATTTCCCAGACTTCTGTAACTATGCATAGTTTTCATTAGCATAATGTCCTCTGTGATCATTCACATTGCTGCAAATGGCAGAACATAGAAAGACAAATGATGCATGGAATTACTTATATGTGAAATCTAGAGTAGTTGAATTAAGAAGAGCAGTGTATACTAGTGGTTTCCAGGAGCTGGGGATTTGAGGAAATGTTAAAATGTTAGTTGAAGAGTACAAAATTTCAGTTACAAGATAAAAAAGTTCTGGAGATCTATATACAGCAGGCCACTTACAGTTAGTAATTTTATATTAAATACTTAAAATTTGCTAAGAGAGCAGCTCTTAAGTGTACATACCAACAAAAAGGTAACTGAGCTTATGAATATACTAGTTTGATTCTAGGAACCATTAGAAAAATGTGTAGTTGCGTCAAAGTGTCACATTGTACACCTTAAATAGAAATTTTATTTGTCAGTTATGACCTGATAAAGCTGAAAAATAAATTTAAAGTAATGAAATAGGGCTAGAGGTATATCCTCAATGGTAGTCCACTTACCTAGCATGCTCAAAGCCCTGGATTCCATTCCCAGCACTAAATAATAGTGATATAATAATAATGATAATAGATATAATTTTAAATTTACACATCACAATGTGAATGCAAATTATACATTAGCCTTTTGTAAGAGACAAATTTTCATATAAGGTTAGGAGAATGGTGCTTTATGTTATGATCCAGAGGTTTATATTTTTGCTATTGATTCTCATTGATTTATATAAAATACCTGATGTGAATTCTACAGTGCTTTTATTTAAAATTTTAAAAATATGTGTTGTTTGAATCACTTTTTTATTTGAATTAGGTAACTGGAAAAAAAGCATATGCTACAAGCCAGCAAATTTATGAAGCAGTTAAATCATTGTGGACAAAAAGCACCAAAAAAGAATCACTCCCTGAGCCTAATGGAAAAACTAAGGTAGAGTTTAAATGGACCAAAATGACAGACAGTGACTTGTTTGAGTAGGTGTTGGCTTGGATGGGCTAATAGGGTTATCGGACAGAAGTCAATGATAAAATGAAAGTTAATGAAATCATAATAATGTGGTATACTATAGTTGATTTAGGATGCTTTATTATTTTAGTAAAGTGATTTACTTATGAAAGAAAAATCTTTTTGGTACACAGCTAGGAATCTCTGACGAAACAGAAATACCTGCAGAAACAACTCACATCCTGAAACATTCAGTGCCTTTGCCAACAGAATTCAGTTCTGGAACAGTGATAAAATCAGAACCCACCTCAGGTTTGTTTGGAATATTTCAATTTTATTTATATTCTTTTATAAAATAACTTTATAGCATTTCCATTAATAATTTGAGCTTGTTTGTGTCTTTTCTTTATATATAGTTTTGCTTTCTCATATATGTAGTTTGTATTTTTGGGTTATGAGAGATTTAGCTGTCTGGAATTTTTTTTTACATCACTACATAGTTCATAATGCAGATTTTTATATGTGGGGATATAGAGTAGCACTAACAAGTTGATTGAGTCAAACATTTAATATCACTTCATAAATGTGAACTATTTTATCAAGAGGTGGTAAATGTACTTCTACATATTCTATCAAAGTATGAGTTATACCTACATAAAAACTCAACTTCCATTTCTTGTGCTATTAGCATTCTTGGCTTCTATCATTTGTATTTTTACTGTATTTGTATTAAAGGAGAATTTAGCATTGAATACTACTGTATCAATAGTACCCAATTAAAGTACTTATAACTTTGTTAGAATTCAGCATTAGCAAATAATTCTTTCTAGGACCAAATACTGACTTCCTAAAAAATACTAATATGGGTGCACACCCTACCGATGTCCTGAGTCTCACAGAACACGCCAAGTCAGCCCGCTGCTGAGACGGGCAGGTCTGTGCACGCCCTACCTAGGTCCTGAGTCAGGCGGAATACGCCGAATCAGCCCCCTGCAGACAGGCAGGTCTGGGCACGCCCTACAGAGGTTCAAAGGCGTGCAGAAAACACCGAATCACCCCACTGCAGACAGGCAGCCACCTGGTACCACACTACAAAGACGCAGAGGACACCAGACCACCAGACCAAGGTACTGAGTCCCACTGCCCAGAGGTAGGGGCTTCTGAGACATCGCCCCAGTGCTCATTGTCCAGAGGAAGGGACTTCCCGGTCACCATCCCTCCTGCTGCCCCTGTCCCACCTCTCCCAGCTCAGAGGAGGTAATCCGTGCAGGCGCTAACAGCCCCCCGCCCCAATTGAAATGAGAAAACAAGTAAATAAGGCTCAAAACCAGATCTCCAGATCACGTACAGCAACCCCAAAGGGAAATGAGATGGAACACTCTGATACTCAACCATCTGGATCCACTGAACTGGCAACAAAAGGGGATCTGGAAAAAATGAAATCAGAAGTAATTTCTCAGATAACAGGAGAAATTGTGCCCCTAGT